TCCGCCTCGTTGCATATGGACCGGTTTGGGCCTCTCTTGTGCAGAAGCTCCTAAGCGTGCCAAAGGCATGGTTGACCTGTCCAGCATTCAATATTCTCCTTCTGACCCCTTAGCCGTAGACCCCATTTAAACGCTAAAGCTTACGCCCGAAACTTCTTGGTGTTATTTCCTAGCTGGCTCTCTTCTGGCCCGTGATCTCAGGGCCGAGCCAGAAAGGGAGATTTGCTGCTGGCCTGGCCGTCTGCTTCTTAAGTCAGGGGCCCGGGAGCATCTGATCTCGAACCAGTCTCTGAAGCAACACGTATATTATATATTTCTAAACCCTACAACTCTCAAACTCTGTGAAGGCAACCCCCCCAAGCCCTAAACCCATCCTAAACCCTAAATACCGTGCAAATTGGTCGCTTAAAACGAGTCGTAACAGCTAGTTGATGTCAGGGTGTGGCCCATTGCCCGTGTCAAGAGGTCCCCTGAGCAGCAAATCTCACTCAATGGTCGCTGCGGGGATTTGTGCAAACAAGGCTCACGGCAGGAAATGATGACCCCATTCCAACTCCTACTTTGTCCTGTCGCGTCCATTCACAAGTTATTTGTTCGTTCATGAAAGCACCAGCACTCTGTAAGCTGCTGAAACCCTGCGCCCTGCTCCGCCACAAACCCGAGGGTATCACCTCGCTGCACAAGCCCAAAGACGAGCCATTTCGAATAGTCACGTCCTCCGTTGGTGGGACCCTAACCCAGAGAGCCCAATACACCTTAATGAAGAAATGTAGGCAACTCATAGTATGAGGCCCCTCATATCTTAAGGCATATTCCTTAATCAATGGTATTGGGCTCTCTGGGAAGGTGTTAAGGCTTTATCGTAATCGGGCGAAAGCTTTTGTGATCTTTGCCGTCGAGATCCGTAGGGCTTACGGCGCGAACCTGTGGGGCCCAACAAGAGCCAACACCGATTCGGATGTCTTGCAGTTCGCGGTGGTCACTCTGGGTCTTGGGAAGCAAGTGTGGGCTCTCCGGTCGAAACCCGAAACCTCACAAAACCTGAAACCTGAAGTAACAGCCCAGCTCAGGGGTGAAAGTTCGATAGGCTATTGGGTTGGGGTTCAGTTGAGGTTTAGGATCTCGGATAGGAGCTATCAGGGTATCGAGGTGACGCCATCACTGCTTAATTAACCAACCCCTGATGCTCTACGAGTCTCGTAGAGTATCAGGGGTTGGTTAATTAAGCGAGTCGGGTCGTTTTTGTCCTTGGGTCCTTTGAGGCTCGGTGCTTTAATCGCTCAGGGTTCCTGTTACAAGGCTGCGTGTTGCAAGAGGCGAGCTTTTGGGATTCGAAGCTTCAGCGGTTCAGGGTTACCCAAACAAGTTACTGCACCAAAGCCAGAAATCCTGCAATAGGCTTCCGTTTAGGCTTGACCTTCGTAGCCGGCAACTTTGTCCAAAGTTGAGGTCTTTTAGGATTAGGGTTCAAGAGCCAGAGCCGTATTCAGGTTTTCGGGTCCTGCTGCTGCTGCGTGACGACATCATCCTCAAGGAAGCAAATAGAAATTTTGGGCTGCAAGAGTCTGAATTGGTGGGGCGAGTGACTGAACGCGTGGCAACCAACCCTGATTACGGCTACGGCGGATTACCAGCCGGCGATGTGCCAGTGCTCAAGTGCCAGTCAGCTTTCGCACTTTATCGCGCCTACTGCATAAAGTTGCATGCTATCTGGGCCAGGAAGGGTTCTGGAGACTGGCACAACCAGTTTCCGCAGTGCAGATGGAAACCACATCATGTCTTACGCCTCAGGTCGCGGCCACGATCATGGCGTTTGCGGAGAAGCGCTTCAACACAAACCTGGATTTAGGTTCCAATTACAAGGGGACCCTTGTTGTGACTTAAGGTATGTTCGTTAATTGAGGTGTTGTGGGTTCTCTGGATTCTAGCTTTAGGCTCAATCCCTGCATGCGGCTAGCAAGCACTTCCCGGCAGCTTTGTGTTTTGGAATGTGTTGACCGTCGAGGATTCTATCGGCCGGAGGCAGAACTATAAATGCCGGAGAAAGAACAACAAGTGCACCTGTCCAGTTTGAAACATAATAGGTTTAGATTCAGAGAGCTTAAGCTCCTCTCCGAATGCCTTGCTAGGTAGGAGAGGGCTGGGAGGTGTTTCTTAGTGTATCAAGCATAACGGCACGGAAGAACAGCAGTACTTGTTCAGCCCCCGTATTATTGTTTCCGCCTTGGATGATCACACCACTGCACCCCTACAGAATATTACTCTTGGAGTTTCGGAAATCAATATGCGCTAGATAGTTAGTAGGATGCTACGTTACACAGAAGCCTACATACAGGTGCCCCTTCCCTAAATGCAACCTTGCCTTTCTGTGAGAAATGCAGATGCACCCGAAGCTTCCAGTCAGCCAAAACTGCTCCATGACACTAACATTTTGCATCCAGGCCTCTTGAAGTCTTGCCGGGGAACGGCGAATGCTGTAGCACTCGTGGCTACACACTCACACTGACCTAACTATATAAACCCGAAAACCCTAAAACAGTTAACCCTAAAACCCTAAACGAATAAGTAGACTAAGGTTTTGGGGTATGATAAACTACAACGACCATGGAAAATCCCTAGCGAGTGCTGCTCACTGTCACTATGTCTTCAGGCCCCCGTGGTAACAAGAGAAGCCGACATCCAATGCCCCTCTAATTTCTGCCCTGCGGATTAACCCTTCGGTCCTAAAGCCAACTCGCACCAACGTCTGTCTGTTAACCCCCACAAGAGCCGCCAATCAGTCTTATTGAGCTGGGACTGCAATTCACCAAGCCCTGAATCCCTTCCGCCCATCAGCCTGAACCCGAAATCCCAAGAACCCGAAACGCAACACACAAAACCCAAAACACTGACACCGACCATCCATTTTCGAGGCATTGGCTTCTGGCCGTCCCAAGTCAGGGTGAAGTGGGCGCGAGACACGCAGTTTCGCAAAGCTTCGTCCTTAACTGGGCTGGACTTCTTTCCCTCTCTTGGTACACTTCTCGATTTGTGCGTGTCATCCTTGCGCAGGGGCCATGCTATCGTTCCAATTTTATCGGGCGATCCCCGAAAGGAATCCTGGGCTACACTTCAGGGTGTAGGGTTCAGGGTCTAGGGCTTATAGGGCCTTGGGTTTATGCCATGAGGGGATGCTCTGGGTGTGTAGAGGGAACTTAAGGCTTTCATTTAAGGCCTAGAGGGCATGGAGGTACCCTGATGGAAACCAAGGTGGAAACTGAAGCTGGTCCATCATATACTACTGTCCTTGGAGGTTCCATATTAGGATTTGTTATGAATTGGTAAAGTATCCCCTATGTCGAATTCCAAGGTCATTTAAGGGAGGGCATCCATCATTTTTAAATACCTGGCAAGGAAGGGTTTCGCAATTCATTTGATTGGTTAATGCCTCCGCTAATCCTGGCTTCTCAAACACGCGAATCCTCATTAAATACTAAACTGCCCCATGTACACCAGAACAGAAAACTTGCATGCGAACTTCATGAGCCTTTGGACCAGACTTCCTGGCAATGATAGACAACGGCAGCTCCTTTTGCCTAGATTTCTCTGGGGCCGCGGCTGGAATCAAGCATTCAAAGGCTTCCGTCTGATGCGCACGGCCCACGGTGAGTGGCCTGGTGGTGCAGCTCAGCTGGATCTGATGCAACCACCTGCGAATTGCGAACGGTAGCTTTTCCGTGGCAACGAACTTACCGCCGCGCCCTAAGACACCCCGAAACTAACACCTAAGCCCTAAACTCTCACCCCCGAACGGGCCCTGATCTTAGGCTGATCTTAAGCCCGAAACCCCTCAAGAAACGCAGAGACTTGAACACGCTGAGCGGTCAGGCTCGTCTTTCTTCAGGATCAGATGAACTTGCTTCTGCCTCAGCCGCGGTATTCCCATGGCTCGGCTCCAAAACACCAGTAATTCTTGAGTCAGGGTTTAGGGTTTACGGTTTGGGGCATGGAACCAATGAAGCAAGCATAGCAATACAATTGGACAAACTAGAACTCTAGAACTCCACGACTAGCAGCAATAGAAACAGGTAGCTGGCAAGCAATACGTCTAGTTGGATCGGTACGCGCTTGGGATTCACAGCTCGGGCTTCAGTGATAAGGACTGATTGTCTGGGTAGTTGGGGACCCGATCGGTCCAGTTCCCCTTATTTTAAGGAATATTCTGTTGGAAATTCTTGACTTGCAGAGGGACCCTGAATATGATGATTTGAGACATATCTCCTCATTCAAGGGTACTGTTCCCTTTGCATCTGGACTTCGCTGAATCCGTGGAAACAAGAGAAGCCCAAACCCATATCTAATCACTATCGAAGACTCTCCCTTTTTTCGACTGGGCTTGGGGCTAGCCAGATCCATCGAAGACTCTCCCTGAACCCTGAACCCTCATGAGTACTGGGCTCTCTGGGGAATCTTTAGTAAACAAGGGGCTGCAACTTGCGCCCATGAAGCCGTAGGGTTTACTATGCTGAACTTAGAACCCTAGCAAAAATTACAATTCTAGCTGTTTCTTAGGGATTATAATACCCAAAACTTAAAAAAATATTTCTCTAAGTACCCTTAAGTTTATAGGAGTTTAGAGTGTAGGCTGCCAGAGTCTTAAAGCCCACCCAGAAGGCAAACTTCACAACCATCATGCCACTGAGTCTGCGTTTCTTTCGCGTCCGCTGGAAAATCTGTTGCCGGGCAGCTTGGCTGACCCAGGATCTTACTGCCCCAATAAGCCACAGAAATCAAAGGTTAAACTTTCCGATTCCCATTAAACTACAAGAACCCAAAAAGTTCAAAGGTTGGGTATTGGGTACTCACTGGCCCAAAACCCAAGGGAATAAAAGTTGAAACTTTCAGAACCGACTACCTTATAAGAACCCCAAAAGTTGAAAAGTTGAGTTTACAGCCAATAAGGGTATGTAAGGGATTGAACACGACAAGATGGTTGCTGATGTGACCGATAGCAGCTCGGCCTAGGCTACATCGGCTTTGCTCACGTAGACGGCCCGTGCAAACGCATCTTCCAGGGCTTCCACACCATCAGCAGTGTGCAGCCTTGCAGCTCGAAGTGTTCTGGTCCCTACATTTCGCTACATATTCGTTTACTGTGGCATAAAATAAGGATCCTAGCTCGTGCCGTAGGTTTACGATCTCTGACATGAAGACTCGGAATGCTTAGTCAGCTGTAAATTCTGTATCCAATCCAACTTTCACTTGGCTAAGTTTCCTGATCCTCCACTTGGCATATAGCCTTCATGCCGATTAGGGCAGCAGCAGGAGTGGTCGTCGTCGTGCTAGTGGTTGCCGTAGTGACTGGTTCTTGAAGACGGAACAAAGGAAACGGGAACATTGCAAGGAGAAGAACGCCTCTTTACTCTTCAAATGCTCCCTAAACTGCAACCCTCCAGCGCAAGCCGTCACTCACCCTAAAGCCTAAGCCCCTGACTCTACCTGATACATCCCACGCCCTGACCGGAAACCTCCAAAAGAAGTATAGATTGCAAACCCAAGCTCAGGGCTTTCTATAGGGGCCTTGATGACTCTTGGGGTCGTGGGTAGGGTGTACCATACCTACACCATGGTAGTTTTATGTAATTATGCTATTGTGTTAAAACCACCGACACCACCAAAAATCCCAAGAGATCCGTTTCTCATAAATCCGACACCAACAGACCGCCAACTCGAAAACCTCAAAGCCGAAAGACGTTACTTTGAAAGTTAAAACCCCCGACACCCAAGCCCTCATCCCTACACCCTCAAAAACCAAGGAAGAAACAAAATCAAGTAACTTTAACTGTAAAGAAACCCCTGTAAGCCCTAATCCCTACACCCCCACAGCCTTTAAAGAAGCCCCCCCACACCCTGGGGTAACCTTTTAAGAAAACCATATAAGGATCCCTAAACCCTCATAACCTTTAAAGAAGCCCCACGCCCTCAGGTAATCTTTTAAGAAACCCCTATAAGGATCCCGAAACCCTCATAACCTTTGAAGAAGCCCTTTTTTGGATCATTTTGGCCACAGCGGCCAATGCAAGCGCTCCTCGGGATTCTTCAAGCCGCCTTCCTCCAGGAGCAGGGACAGGCGGCCATCGCCTGGGGCTCATTTTAGGGGCTGGCGCATGGGCTTGCTACAAATACGTATATATATATATACACACACACATAAGTATATGTATGTCTATATATATATATACATACATACATACATACATATATATATATATGTGTGTGTGTGTGTGTAATGTATATATTCTAGCATATGCACACATACATACATACACACATATATATATATATACACATGTGAACACCACCTGTGGTCCGTGGACCTTACCACCGGTTTTCCTGGTAGAGCAACGCGGTTCTGGTGCCCCTACCCAACCAGAATCTATGCTATTCGGGTCAAGGTTATGCGATACTTGGCCTGACCAGTACACCGCACGAAGGTATTGACACCAGTTTGCATGATAGTATGATGATACCACAAACCATGGTATGGTAGTACCGTCGGGCCAAGACACTACACCTTACCCTGCAACCCTAAAGCTCGCAAGCGCTAAACCCTAATTATGACCCTCCTCTCCCGTGAAAAGCCCGAGAAACACGGAAACGCTCCAAGATAATATTGTCCTGCTGAACCCTAAAACCATTCAAAACCCGTAAACCCATCACTCTAGGACACGCAAGGGAACGAGGTCCAGATTGGATGCCCAGTGTCTCAGAGGCAGCAGTGGACCCGTGACATCCAGGAGCGCCAAAACCTGCGAATCTTTTCGAGGTTCAGAAAGGTTTACCGAGAGTTTTCCCATAAAGACCTACAAGCGATTGCATAAGGGCATTAAGGGCTCTACGAGGGTGAGGTTTCGTGCATCTTATGCTCTACACTCTGCATAAATCACATTCAGGACCCCCCTACAATTGCCATCTTCATTAAAGACTAAGCCCTAAAGCCCTCAAGCCCCGGACTGAAACCGCAAATGAAACCCCAAACCCTACTGTTGATGGACAAAACCCTGCATGACCCTCAGGATTCTAAACTAAGGGAACTATGGTATACTCCTTATAATGGGTACTGCAGAATTTTGTCCATCAGCAGTATTGCCCCAAGCCCCAAATAAAATTTAAGCCCTGACACTCAGCAGTCTCAAAGGCCCTGGTCTGTCAAAGTGGCTATAGTTTCACATGGGAGTTTCCGAAAGTTAGGGGCACCTTATTTTGGCGTCCTTATGGTAAGGATCCTACTATTTAGGGTACTATAAATGGGTCCCCTAGTTTCGGAAACTCCCACATAGCATACTATCGTGTGTTACACTATGTTGCAGTCTATGGTAGCCGGGATGCCACAGCGCCCCGAGCTCAAAACTCACAGCTTTGCCCATCTAGCGTAAGGGAAACCCGGAACCCCAGCAAACGGCATAAGCCAGCAAATATCCAAGCATCGAAAATGTTTGTGCTTGGCGCCTGTTGAAGCAATCCCGCATCCGGCTCGGGTGGCGATTTGTCAGCAAAGCGCTCGGCAAGGATTGGTCGCAACGGCCTACACGGTGGCTTAGGGCAAAGACCAGCAGGGAAAGAGACATCGCCATCCTAAGTATTGCCTCCTACTCGCTAGGACGAGCCTGCATAGCAGCCATCCTAATAGGTAAACGGTTTAAGTGGTTTCAGGTTAGGGGCTGGGTTTAAGACATGGTGCACACCCCCATCTCCATGGCCAAATGAATGGGCAGGTCTCTCTATCCAAGATCCAGCTACGAAACCTTACAATTTATGGAGCCGACACCTTACACGTCCCAGCAGAATACGGGATAAGCGAACAGCAAGATCCAAAGTACATGAACTAATACAGGTACACAAACGTATATGTATGTGAACTGTACACCGTGTATACATGTTCCTATCCACGCAAGTCTGATCTGTTGTTGATCTGCTGATACAAACATCCAGAAAATTTGGAATTCTTAAATTTGGAAGTCTTAAGAAGAAGAAAGCCTGAACACTCAAAAGGGGAATTTCGGGGCATGGACAATGAGAATAGGGTTTGGGGTATACCATGCTAACCTTTAACTATGATCGAGGGACCCTGCAGATGAAAAACATGTAATTGTTAAGGTCCCTTTGTTACTCTGAGTTGCGAACCCCCTCTCTCCCCATCCACCCACAAAACGCTTCAAACCCCGGGCAAGGGGGCTTGGACTGGCAACTTTCCTGACCTCATCTATCGTCCAGGGTTCAGGCCTTCATGGGGTTTGGATTTCAGGGTTCTAGCCTGGTATTAGCTCGTGTTTTTAGCATTGGCATGAGTCGGCGGTCAGAATCGGTAGAGAGTAGTCACTGCTTCGAGCAAGGCGTCAGGGCTTATTTGCTTCCTTGCGCGTCTTGCAAGGTTTCATAGAGCTCACTGTGCTAAGGACCTGGGATGTTTCCTTATAAATAACTATGAGTGGTGTTTGGGCGTGGAAGCACGCACAGGCAAGAGATGAGTGCGCGAAGAAAGAGGCCGAACGTGCAGAGACTGAGGCTCTCCGTCTTTGCACCCTTGGGCCTTTCTCTTCGTGGGCTCTGAGGCCGCGAGTCCGAAGGAGGAGGGCGGCAACGCAGCGAAGGAAGCATACTGATTGAACCATGCGTTTGAAAGGCTTTCTGACGCTTAATGCTGTGCCTTCAATCTTCCACGTTTTGTGCTCATACAGATGCTTGAGACCCATCGTAGTCTTACTAGGCGACTTCGAGAATATTGTGGGAGTGGTCAACACGACTCTCGCAGTATTCCCGCCAATAAAACGCAACACTGACTGGCACGGCATTCTTCACGCCGGTTGGTCGATGCTTCTGCGCAAGAAGCTGTGGACCCACTTTGGGGTCGAGAAACCGATTGCTATGACCTGCTTGCAGGCTCCACGATCCTCCCACATCGCTGTGGGCCAAGGGACAGTCTAAGTCTAAGCGTTCAGATAAACCGATGGGGCTTTATGGGGCCAAAGCTGCTTCTGTAGGCGAACTCCTGTGGGTTTTGTAGGCAAACCCTAAAGCCCTAACTGAACCCTAAACTAAAACCCCTAAACCCTCAGTGGGGGTCTTATGCTCACTGGCCCAAAACCCAAGGGAATAAAAGTTGAAACTTTCAGAATCGACTACCTTATAAGAACCCGCAAAGTTGAAAAGTTGAGTTTACAGCCAATAAGTATTGGCATTATAGGTAAACCCTGAAGCCCAAAAACCCTAAACTACAGTAGAAGCCAGAAAGTTGGAATATCATTATCGTAACCCCTTTAAGGTAAATTTTAGGGGATCCTACCATTAATCCATATTCCAACTTTCTGGAGTTCCCTTTAAGGGGGTCTTCTGGCGCTAGAGCTCCGGGTCTGATGGCGCGTTGGCCTTGCTTTGGGGAAGCCCGAGGTCCCGGGGCGAATGCCCCAGCTTTCTCGCTACGTCCCAGGCTGTGGTGCCATCCTCGCGGAGGGGTGCTACATGTTACAAAGGTAAACGATAACATGGCATGATGTACTACAATATATATATATATATATATATATATATATATATATATTATATTATATATTAGGTAGATAGACTGATAGATAGTATCGGACTCGTCGCCGAGGAGTGTCTGGGTTACAGGAGGTGTTGCTGTAAGAGGACTAGAAGGGCGACTACATGGGTCATAGGGCTAAAGGGTTACTATCAGAAAATTTGTCCATGGGTTTGTATGAGGCTGGCTATACGGGCTATTACAAAGGCCAGCGGTTAGTAATACGGCGGTTGCTAGAACGCTTACTGTAAGGCTTACGGTCAGGATTACGACTAGAGGGTGGTCGTGACACGGTGACGCATGTTTCGCTGCTGTAAACTGGCGGGGTCCTTGGAGCGCACCTTCAGGTCCGCTTTCATGGCCGCAAGGCGCTGGACAGTGGGGCGGTGGCCAGATTTGGCTGCGAAGTGCACGGCCGTGAAGCCCTGTGTGTCTGCATCGCCCACGGGAAGACCCTCCTCATGCACCAGAAGGTCCAGAACGTCCAGGTGGCCTCATAGATGATTACATGAGGATTCGAGACTTTCAAAATATTCGCGGCCTGATGACTATGACATGTGTGCAGGGCAACAAAGAAACATCCAGGACTAGGACGATGATAATAACGATGATGTTGGTAATGTTAATGTTGATACAATCAATGATCCAGCTGACGGATGATGCTGATGACGATGACGAGTATGATGGTACGGGTGGGCAGTGACAATAGTGCTGGCAGTGCAGCAGTACGGTAGTATGCCTATGTCCTATGTTGACAATCGACTCCATCTGTGGGAGAAGTCTGCGATGTGTGATGCTGTGCACTGCTGGTCATGCAGTGCCTGGTGCGGCGGCGGCATTGTGATACAGATCTTGTTTCGCGGTCGTTGTCATGTTCATGTAGGGTCATTTAGGCTGCCCGTGGTCTTCTCGTTGCTGCCATCGCGCGCTAAGAATAGGAACAAGCTAGTATTGATGACGCCTGGCAAGAATCAAGACGGCATGATGTGGAAACGGTGCAGGCTTCCTCTTAGAGCTCAGAGCCTTCGACACCTCTGAGTCAAGCACAAAATGCTTTCAACAATGGGGGGGGATCCTGGATAGAAAGAAAAGGTACGTCGCTGAAGCCTTAAACGCTAAAGCCCTAAACCCTCAATTACGCGGTTTAAACGTTTCTTAGAGACATGGCCTGCGAGGGCCGCCAGATGAAGAGGTCGAAAGCCGCGAGCATCTTGATTTCTTCCCAGGCTGGGTCCTTACTTCCCCAAGTACCCACGAGGTGAAAAGCTCAAACTTTCAACTGGTGACTGCCATGTCAGAACGCAACAGTTGAAAATCTCAACATCCTGAATATGCCTACCTTAGTAACCAGAAAAACTGGAAAAGCTGAAACTTTTAGAATCTGACTACCTTAAAGCAGCCCCACATGTTGAAAAGAGGGTTCTTAAACCCTAAACCCTAAAAGGCTGGGGCTCTCGATCGCAGCACTTTGCGGAGGACTTCAGTTCGGCCCCCTTCGGCTGAGAAGTGCGCGAGATCGGAAGGGAGGGACTCTTTCCTTAGCTTCGGTTTCACACGGGTGATGATACAAATCCTGCATTCCTTAACGACCCTAAACTATGGGAACTATGGTAGACTCCTTATAATGGGTAATGCAGGTTTTTTTCATCGACCGTAGGGCTGGAGGCGGGGGTTCCGGGTTGTTCTTGTCAGTTCCCCGGTCTTAGTTGACAGGGCCCTCCTTGCAGCAAGATGTTCTTTGCAAGAAGCCTCTCAAAGTATAACAAACGGTACTGAGGCGACCCTAAACCCTAAACCCGATTCCCCCTAACCCTAAACCCGATTCCACCTTTTCTTGCACAGAAACCCTAAACTGGCCCTAAACCCTCAACTGTACTGAAGTTGAGCTGTCAAGTTTCATCAGTTCTTGGACGAGGGAAGGGCTGTTGGCTTTGACGGCCAGGTGAATAGGGAGCAAGCCCCTCTTCTCTTTGACCTGGCGGTTACCGGAAAAAGGTGACCCGAATAAAGTACCATAAATAGTAGGATCCTTCTTGTAACCCCAAAATAAGGCACTCCCCGTTTTCGGAAACCCCCACCTGGCGGCAGCCTTTCTTCATCAAAGCTTTCGCGACCTCCATGTGACCTTAGTGCTGGCTGCGGGTTGAATGCAGCCGTATAGCCTGTATCAAGCTCTTGTGGTTAGTCTTATGTTCTGTTTATGGCACTGGGAGTCGGTAGAATCCTTCCAATCACTACACAACACCAACAAAAAAAGCTGTACATAACCACATATAAAAATCCCGATTTATAAAGACGGCTCCCTGTGGAACCTGTCTAGAAGAATAGAACAGCTGTATAAAACTCCTGCAATCCTTTGAATTGAAAACGAGCAGAAAGGCCATGTGACCCATCGCGGCCGCAAAATGCATGGCAGTGAAGCCCTCCATTTTGGAGGTCGCCTCCAGCGTGGCCCGACGGCCTTTCGGGTTTTAGGAGTTTTTTGTGGTTCTAGGGTTTATTAGGGTTTTGTGAGCTTTAGAGCTGTCAGCCCTAAAACCAAAACTGTAGGGCTTAGAGGCTCTGGGGTTTAGGTCAGAAGGGGCCCCCACCCTGTAATAGTGACAGAAAGGATTATAAAAGGGCACTAAGAAAAAATCCTACTCTAGCACTATTACAGGGTGGGGGCTCCTTCTAAGGTTTAGGGCTGCGGCTTCGTCAGGAAGCTGCTTTGTGCGTCGGGCTGGGCTTGGGCCTTCGTGCTCGGGAATGAACCTCAAAGAACCGCTTCTTAAAACCGTTGCCCAGAGAGCACAATACCCCTTAATTGACTCAGACTAAGGAAGAATATACCCTAAATGATAAGGGGTTTTGGAATATGAATGTACCCAAAATCATAAGGGGCTTCATACTACATGATTTAAGCTATATTCCTGCATTAAGGGGTATATGTTGGGCTCTCTGGGTGAAGCCCGGGTTTAACGAGCCCCGCGCCTAAGAGAAAGTCCACGGCCTCCGCATGACCG